CACCTAGCTCCTGATATTGCTCTTCCAGCCTCTCGAGGGCCAGCAGAGTGCAGGGTGCAGGGCCTGAAAAGCGCATTGCTGCTGCCTCTCCTGCTTTTGCTCTTCTCTTGCAAGATTCAAGGCAAAGCAAACGTGGTAGTCTGAGAACCACTGAGAAGTGACAAAATCTAGAGGTGTTAACATGTTTTTCATGCCCTGGAGGGCTGGGAGGCACCTGCAGAATTGCTCTGTATTTCAGGTATGACCCATATACTATATATGGATTGAAACCCACTGAGGTTCCTCTTTGCTCCTGTATCAGCAACTTCATTATAAGCTAATACAAATGGTAACATGACAACAAACCTCTACTTCTGTAAGTAGAAGCGAATACAGTCAGGTGCAAATGCTTGCTCTTAGGCATTAACCCTAAAAGCTTAAAAACCTGAAGATGGAGCCATGTATTTGCATGCAAGTATCACACAGGTCTATGCATCCCCTCACCTCAACACCTGCTTGACAAAAACTCATTGCCGGGCCTTTCTATATTGATGTCTGAAGTGCCAACTCTGAAGTTTTTAATGATAATGTTGAGACTGTCTTCTTATGTCTACTTTTTTTATACCTGGAATTGTAAAGTATACTCTTAAGGACCACAAGTATAAAACTACAAAACCAATGCAAAATATTAAGATCAAAAAAAAAGGAAAGAAAGGATGTTTTTGTTATTTGCCTCAAGGTTTTTGTGTCTTCAGAGTGAGACCTTACCACATCTGCAACCTCTTCTGTAGGAGGCTCAAAACTATTCTCTTTTAAGCAGAATGACAGCCAAGAATCTTGTATCATCATTTGATCCTAGCAGCTGAGAGCTCACAGAAAAACATTAACTACCCTGAGATTTGTAATAAAATTATGAGATCTGGTAATCCTGACAATAATTGGTCCAGATCTGAAAAAAACCTGAATTCAATCACACTTAATCCTCAGAGAAATGATTCAGGTGCAAGTCTGAGGAATGCATTTATCCCATTGACAATAATTTGTAACTTTACCCTGCCATACAGATAATTGGATTTGATTCCCGGGATAGCAGGTTTCGGCTCCCACTGTCAGGCATGCTTCTGCCTAAAAGGGCATGAAAATATTAACTAACTATAAACTAAAGAGCATAATAATACTGCAGGACAGTGAAACACAACATCTCTTTTATATGCCTGACAATAGGACATTTGCATTACCCCTGAGTTACCATGCCATCACTTTGGACACTGCTTTAGATTTATGCCTCTAAATATAAATTTTGCCTTACCAAAACATAATCATTCCACCCTAGTGCATGTATTCTTACAATAAGGTCGCTTAAAAACTTAATTATTGTAATGTTTTATTGCTAGTCTTTTCCATATTCCTTCAGTGGTATAAATCAGTGCTTGCCATAGGGAAACTGCCTAGCACTTTCATACAAAATAAACAGTGACTGGAGTCTATGGGGCATGGAAAAAAACAGTCATGATTTTCATTGCTCTGGGATATCTGGACTTGACTGATTCCCTAATTTATCACTAAAAACTGTCCTGAAGAAATGCTGGCAAACAGGCTTACCAAGAAGAGCATTTCTTTGACGAGATTGCTTTGAAACACAGGAGGAAGGTTTCTCAGATGCTAGGAATGTCCATAGTCAGCTGAGGAAGTGGGCAGAGCACAGGTGAGCGGGTGAGGAGATCATAGCCAGAGCTGTGGATCTGGGATTTATCATATCAGAAAAGTGACTCATCTGTGCTAGTAAGATTGTCAAAGGTGACATGTCCTTTGCAGGAAGACATTCAGAATATTCCCATAAACACATCGTCGGTAAGACTGATTCTTTCTACTTAACTTTCTCTTTCACCAATTCTCTCTCAGTAGGTTCATATATCAAGAAATAAAGAGAATTTGGGAAATGTAGATGAAAAATTAATCTAGGCCATAGTTTTCTGCATTATTGCCAAGAAAACATTAAGCCAACTGTTTATTCATTTTAAGGACATAAGAGAATAGTTTTGAAAGCAGTTTTCAGAATTACAAAGGCTGAAATGAATAATGATGGTTATTATTAAGTAATTAACCATCCCTTCTAGACTAATGCACAGTGTGTCAGGTGTCAAACATGTGGTTAACACGCCAGCCACACGGCTTCCTCCTGCCCCCGGGGCTCCCACGTGAAAGGTTTAAGTGGGCAGGGTAGAGAACAAGGCAGGAGGGGCCAAGTTAATCAGAGAGGGATGTGCTGGCCCTCCAACTGGAATGCCTCCTGGAAAACCACCAGCAACGGATCAGACGTCTCTGTTTGTTTGTTGCACCAAAGGATTTTTTTTTTCTGATTTGACGTCTGCTAGAATTTAAGATCTGCCTCCAAACTATTTCTTTTACTCAACTAAAACTGCCATTGACTTAAAGGGAGTATTTTTTTGATAAATCCTGACATTAAAATTGGAATCTAGTGTTATCCTTGCTGGACTGAAACCCCACCTAACACAGAGAAATATGCCTAGTGGTGAATTATTTTTAAATAGCTTCCAAAAATGAGTGAGGACGGTGCAGTTAGAGAGTGGACATATCTGCACAAGTGTCTATAGGAAGACACCAGCTAAAGCCTGCAGAGTCCCCAAGGTCCCAGGAAGGAATCAGCTGGGAGCAGTTGGTAAGAAAGAGGAAAATAGCATAAATATAATCACAGAAAAGCTGACAAAGGAAAGAAATCTGTATTTTTATGTTTTTGAGGAGTTCAACTAGCTGTTTTCATGTCGAAGAATGACAATCACACTGATTAACTCTCCATTTTACAATATATTTCAAGGCCCAAGGAAGGCCTTGAGTCACTTCCACTTGGGCCAAACTATTTATAACGTAAAAAAAAGCAAATGCAGCTCCAAACATGTGCTCAGCCTCCCTGGTTTTAATATTTTGCCCTTTGCACCAGGTCCCCCCGGCATTCTTCAGTTACTTCACTTTCTCCGAGGGGATCCTCATAGCTGGCAGACAAATATTGAAACTGCAGCAATTCTTTCACTTAGTATCCTTGGCAAAAAAACGAAGAGCTTTTGGGTTGTGCAACTCACACCAAAGCGCAAAAAAAAGCCGCAGAAGGAGGCAGGCCGTGATGAAACTCAGAGTACCTGCAGAAAGGCGGTGTGTGGCCTCGGCAGGGGTGAAGCACGGCAGGCTGAGGGAGCAGAAACCCCCCTTGTCCTGCGGGGACTGTCCTGCCTCCCTGCAGCCCCTGTGCGGGCCGGGGGCTGCTGCAGCCTGCGCTCGCCTTTGCGGCCACGTGGCACCCAGGCCAGCAGCCGGCACCCGTCCCCACGGACGGGGATCTCGGCTCCCAGCCTGGCCCCGGGGTGTCCCACTTCTTTGCTTCTGCTCCCCGGTCTGCTCCCGCTGCTTGCAGAGAGCAAACTTGGGCACCCACGACAGCCTGCCCACTTTTGATCTCCCGAAAACTGATGGCAGGAACTCATGGGGCTCTGGAAAGAGGCACCGCGGCACCGGTGTGAACGCGCAAACGCCAACGAGGCAGAAATTCAAGGTTTGCTCTCAGTATCTACCAAGCAGTATTGATGATGTTACAAAAGGCTGTATTTTATTACATTTCAAAAAACGGGCACTCTTGTATATCTGCATTTTTACACACCAAAATTGGTCTCATTAAAAATGTCCAGGTGAGTGAAGCTTGTGATTTCTTCTTGATGACAAAGGGCAGAAGTAAATATATTGCTCTGCAACCCAAACTCATCCATACTGCAGAGTTCTAGTTCCCAAGCCCAAAGTAGGCTACACAGTACTAGGAATCATCAGAGGAAATGCAGGTGCTAGAGAACATACAATACTAGCTGCTTCCTGGAGTTATGTCTATCTTAGTGTTACTAGCCACCACCTGCAGAGGTGACGCAAGGTTAAGCATGGTAGGAAACCCTTATGAATAATTTTAATTTAGGAAATAATCAATTAAGCTTCCCTGTGGCAAACCAGGGTAGTTGCAAGTCTCCAAGCTATGCTGGAAACAACAGCACTACTCACAAGCTTAAACCAGATGGATTTTAGTACATTGCAGAAGCAGGATTTAAGAGGAAAACCCTCATCTACGAATAGCTATAATAAATACAGTGTAATTCCAGCTATCCTCTACATACATATGGATGTGTGCGTACACCTTTTACTTACACACACACACTCAAGCCTACTATGAACAGCTTGTTCGTAACGTGTAAATGAACTATCACAGGCAAAGAGTTCAGCTTCTAAGAGCATCTTTCTGATCAAGAGTGCTGTTGCAAACAGATGCTACAGAGCATGGAAACAACCATTCCGCCTAATTCCATCTCCCTCAGCAGAAAGCCTATCTTTAAAAGTCACTCATCACTGAATGCCCTTTCGTCTGCAGAAAAATGTGAAGTATGCCTTAATTACATCCCCCGTGGCCTCCCATTTGATGTCCTGTCCACTGCATCTCTGGCAAGACTGCCTTATCTCTGGGTATTTGTCGATTAAACTAAACGGCATTTATTTGGGTCTTCACTGAATTATCATAAGCAGAATGTGGCCGTTTGCTCTTTACCCGTAATTTTGAAAAGTTGGAGTCACCTCATTAAACAATGTAAGATTTCCGGTAACGCTTCATAATAATGGTCACATTCATTAACACTACATTAAACTGAATCCTTTCGAGACTACATATCACCCTCTAAACATGTTTCTATCTAACACGTTAACATTTAGTGATGTTCTCACAAGAGGCTCAACCACTGCCCACCTTATAGTAATACCCTGTGAATCAACCACCATTTGATCTGTTAGATATTATTTTACTGTACCAGAGCGTTCATATGTTTCATTCACATTTTGTTTCTTATTTATACCAGCTCCTCATCTATATCAAAGGAAATGGGTATCAGCCCTGTGTGATGAAGATCACCTGAGGTTTCAGTTTGCGCCCAGCATCAACTTCTTGCAGCACTGTGCAATACAGAGAAACTCCATCATACGCATCTTACCTCTTTGGTGTGGGTATGGAAGGAGACTGACATGTCCAGGAGAAGCTTCCTCTGTTCCACCCTTCGGACGAAGTCCTGAATCCGCACTTCCAGATGCCGGGCTGCTTTATAGATCTCTTCAGGGTCACATTCCCCAGTCTGAGCCAACTGCTCTGCAGCCTCTAAGAGCTTGTCTGCATTGGTGTACGTATTCTACCAGCAAACAAAGCAAGGAACAGAGCATGAGTAATACAACTGTGGCAAGTAAACCACAAAACAGGCTGTTTACACTTTACAAGGTATGAAAGCCAGTGATTACTGAGTTTTAAAACAATAATAATAATTCCTACTGATGTTGCCATCTGTGAAAGGAGTGTGCACAAAGCCCCCACAGCCTAATCCCTGAGTGGGCACAAAACAGTTTCTTATTTGAAACACACCACCCCAGCACAGTCCTGCCAGGCACAGGAACAGGACTGTGCACTTGTTTATTCCCAAGCCCCCTGGAATTTCTCAAAGATAATGTAAGGAAGCAAGGGGGACTAACTACCTCATGGGCCAATGGTGTTTCATGTGGCCCTAAGTGCATTGCTAAGGACTCCCCATGATTATCATATTACAGCTGGTAACCATGCTAGTCTGAGACATCTTAGCCTCAAGAGACATTTGCCTTTCAAGGGCTTTTGCGGGATAACCTGAAAAACTGTATCTTCAAACTGCTTCTGTGTTTTATTCTCATCTACTGTTCTGCAGTGTATTTCTAAAAGGAGTAAAACCCATTTTTTTTAGCCTCCCAGTGTCAAATGCTCGAATTGCTCTGGAAGTATCATTTCCAGTCTGAGGTATGTTATCTGCCTTCCACTGCATGAGGTTTTGAGCACTTCGCCATCCTGAACAGATTTACCCTTGTAGCTATAATCTTCGAGACACAAGACGTTTTACCCCTTCTTTATAGACAGGGAACTGAAAGAAGCAGGAGCTAAGTGATGCACCCAAACATGCTAGACTGGAAGTGTAGAGGTTGAATCCCCCTCCATCAAAGCTTAGTTCAGCTAACAAGCTACCTGTCCATCCTTTCCCTCCCTGTGTCTGTGGAAAAATTCACTAAGCAAATCCATCAGAAGATCTCAGTAGAAATGTAGAGGGAGCGCAGCTTATCTTCTTCATAGCCCGGAATTACAGGTTATTCATCATCAGTGATATTTGTACAAAGCTTAGAGTCAACAGCTCTTGATGCCACAGATGAGCTTTCCTTACTCAGATTGAGGCCAATAAGTCTGTAGCACTCAACATTTAATAGGCAAATAAGAAGAGAGCAGACATCAGCTTAAGGGAATTTCCAGTACTTGGTCGGATCTTCAGAAATGCTGAGCGTTGGCCTAAAACTGCTCCTACCGGGAATTTTAATCTCTCCATCAAAGGAAACAGAATTATACATAGCACTTTCCTTTTAAAAAATCCCACCGAGAATCCTGCTCAGCTTAAGTGTGCGTTAACTGGATATATATCCCAAAATACATGTGGAACCTGCGGACACACATAGTGTTGAGCATTAAAGGAACACAGATGAACTTGAAAGCCATGGATAAAGTGCTGTTGTTCTTACACAGGTAATACTCTGCTGCAGGCAATAGTTGTTGCTTGAGAAAATACTGAATACAAAGAACAAACATCTGCCTCTAAGTATTTAATAGGAAAAATACTAGCTGTTATAAAAAGCAAAAAGAAAATGGCTAATTCACTGTCCATTTTCCCAGTTTCTAAGGGCTGACTACAAATATACAATATTTGCATTTCTCCTTTTGGACTGTGGAGAACATATTCTGGATGGTTTTGTTACCAATATCAAATACTTATTCACTCACTTTCAGGTCATTGTTATGATGACTAGGTTGTTAACAGCAGCGAAATTTTATGCTTTCATAATCATTTTTTGGAAATAATTTCAGATGAGAAATTGTTTAAAGAAAAAAAAAGTTCCCAAAGTTCCCTTTAACATTATCTAAGTTAGGGACTAATATCACTTTACAGCAGCCTTTCTGAACAATCACCTTCCAAAATTGTTTGGAGCAAGTGAAGTTTTTGTTCTTCATTTTTTTTTTCTTCTGTGTCCCCACTGAGTTCCTAGCTAAGTCTCCAGGCTTTAAAAATGAGTGAATTTTTTGATAGGAAAAAATAAATATAGTATGGGCCAAATAAGATAGGGATTAGTTGTTTGGTGAGAGCCTGCCCTATTTTTCATTTGTTTGGTCTGTTAATTTGCTTTTTAAGAGCATGTAAATGGCTTCCAAATTGCGACGTGTACAAAACATTTTGTATATCAACATTTCCCTAAAATTGCCTTATCAAAGCTATGTTGAACCTGAGGGCTTCATCCCATGTTGGTATATAGCACTGCACACTTTCCCATTTTTCTCCTGAACTCGCTCTCTTGGTTGTAAGCTCTTCCAAGCAGAGATCCTCACTTACTTACACTTTAGAATCACTTTTTTGGTGTAACCTAAACCATACTGCACCAGAGAAGCAGAGGAGGGAGTTGAAGACAGAATCAAGTCCCATGAAGTCCCATGATGAAGAAAAACATATAAAGGATCTTCCTGTATGAAGGCCTCTTCACCCTGCTACCCCCAGCTAGAAGAGGTTGTTTCAGACTCCCAACCCTTCTGAGATGCAGGAGGGTCTACCAGGAGCAGACGCTCCATGCAAAGCTCCATATGGTATCAAGATTGGAAGCTTTTGGAAGAAGGCAAGAGCTACTGCAACCCCTGACAGAATATTTTGCTGCTAGAAGGGCAATTGTAACTGTACTCTTTTCTACTCTGCTAAACCCAGGCCTACGGAGGGTTTTCTGTATCATCCACAGGGAAGCAACAACAAAACCAACCAACTAGTCCCTCCAGCGAGGAGACCCGCATGCAGAATCTCCCTTTTGTGTGTGGATCTGTGGAAATGAGCTCCTGTTAAACTAGAACAATGCCAGATCCACAGAAAAATAACCTTTGTATTACACCGAGATATGCTCTCTGAAAGTTGTTATGCATTGTGGTGTCAGCTGTAGTGGGGTGTTTTTTTTTCTAAATTGTATTAACTATCTGTCATATGCAAATCCTTGAAATTCCCTGCTAGCTGGTATTAGGCACTTCTTTTGCACCATCTCACGCACAAAACCAATTTTCATTTCAAATCTCTTAATAACCTTTCTATACTAATCTTCGCATAATCACCTATTTCACTCATGAAATCTGCAATCACAAGAAATTGGAAATGCACACTTCAGGTTTCGCAATGGAAATACCTCTAACATAAGCTTTGGAATTCCTTTTAGACAGAACCTGGAGGTTTTTATCTTTCTCTTTTTTGTTATTTGCAAGAAACTGGAAGCATGATTAGGGAAGACAGAGACTAACAAAACTCATATAACAACTCATTCTACAATTCAGAATCGGACGTGCTTGTAATCTGATCCATGGCCATGTTTCCTAACGGGATTCACATAAAACTCTCATTCATTAATTATTAAGAGTTTGATATCCTGCAGCAGGTTAAAAAAAAACGGGTTATGAAAAAGCTGATATGAAATTTCCCTGTTGCATTCAGTACATTGTCTACTTTCCTATGCATTTCAAACCAATAAATGTCAAAATGTCAAAATCCATTTTCATCTTTGAGTCTTGCAGTAGATCTCAACAGAGATTCTGCACTTTCCTCAGCTCAACATGTACAAAGACATCTCTGCTTTGAAGGCACACTACCCAAACGCAGCTCCTCCAGCAAACTGCCTAAGAGATTTCCTATAAACTGAAGCAGACCTTACTTTGTTCATAATCCTTGTGCTACAGAGGTAAATCTTTGAGCAACCTATATAACCCAGGGTAGCACTGGCTGTATGCACTTCATGATTGTCCCATCTGCTACAGAGAGCACAATGCTCAGTATAAGCTCTTAAAATAAAAGCAATTTAGGTTTGAAAAAAAATGGTGTATTTTTCATGATTAAAAAAAATGCACGAAAGATACTGAACAATACATCAACCAATTCTAGCTCATTAGAAAGGTTAGAGATAGTAGCACCAAAATACTTTGCCCTTCTTATTTATGGTATGTACTACAGCCTAAAGAAGTCTAATATTGTAGCCCCTTAAAAAACACTGTTTTGAACAATTGTTTTAAAAATCATGGAAAATATTAATAATCCTATGCATATATTTGTGCTCTTCTCTTAGCCCACAGCCCATTTTTTAAGTTATCAATCAATTTTATGTAGTGTTTCAACTTTGACTTATATGCATTTTCAGAAAATGATTCTATGTGGAGTTTTCCTCTAGTGCTAGCCATTCCACTTGTAACTAGCTTACTGTTGCATGCTTCTAGGAAGATCCCGTTGAAAATAACTGCATCTAATGGTGATGTAAGGCAGCCCAGATTTGGACACGCTGCTTCTAGAATGTTCCCTTCGCGGTGCTTTGAAGCTCTTTATTAGATTTAACTTTCCTGTTAACCATCTCCAAGTGCTGCAGGGTGCTGAGCTATGCTGATCAGCATCAGAAGATGGAGGTAGGAGCGGAGATGCAGGTGGTTAGATACACTCTCATATTAAAAACACGCTGCAAACCTTAAACACTTCCTGAGAATGAACCAGAGGTGCTAAAAAGCTCTGAGGCGGCCCTGATCTGTGGCACTGCATGTTTATCAGGTTCTTGGGATTGTGAAGGCAGTTCCAGGCAAATTCCTCCTACGGATTCAGAGTTTTGTCACTGAGGTTTTCCCATCTAAATGGCATGGAAGAGATGGCATCTCTAGAGGCCAGTATATATGGATTATCTGGAGAATTTATATTACCATCTTAGATCTGATTTGCTCCACTAAAGACAATGTGAATCCCGAGTTATGCCCGCAGGTTGAAGCTGAGGAGAATTACGAGGTTTTGTTTGATATGATGTCTCCTTTATGTTCACTGGAGTCATGGTTCAACTCATCAAAACCAAAGATGAAATCCTACAATTCTTACACCTGCCGTAAAGATGGGATGTCGAGACTGGAAGTTCAAAAGCTGATCCATCTCTCACTGCAAACAGTAAAAGCGATCTCACAGACTGCACTGAGAACTGGGTCAGCCTCCTAGTCATTTACTCAGGATCACAGAGGGAGATAAAAATGGGTGAGGACTAAAAATAGACCTGCAAAGGCCTCAGACCCCAGCTCTGTGTGCAGACA